CCATCAGATTATTAACTATCATCGAAAGGTAAATGTATTTGAGGATCGATAATTCACGCACGACTAAGTGTGTCTCGCGCTCGAAAAGGATTATTTCAGGCACATAGAAACCCTCGACTAATCGTCTATACCTCTACATCCATTGTCCACTTTCCAACCATCGCCCCTCCCCTTTCGCCAACCTTCTGTTCAACTCACCGACGTATTTATAAAGTTTCCAAAGTCGAGGAAGACGGGTTGAGTGGCCGTCAGGTAGCCTCTCCCTTCCAATTCGCGAGATATTCGTGAGAAGGAAGAGGCATCACCGTGAAAAGCGGACGCGATGAAAACTTCTTAATTCCAAGCCTGCTCTAGTTTCCGGATAAGAGAGGCTACCTTTGCGAGGGTGGGCCGTGATTGGCCCAGGCATAGACCTCATGAACCTCTTATATACGTGCACGTTATTACGAAGTAAGAGGGGAAAAGTTCCGCTTCACACTCAACTGGCCATTAATGGCGGCCATCCCCGGCTGGCAACTCGAAAGGGTAACAAAAAATGCAGTAGACACGTGAGTTTGCATAGTTTCTGATTGTGATGAAATTCGGCAATATTAAACGCGTAATAACTCTGATCGAACTCGTCAAAGAAGATTTAATCTTTTCGTTGCATTTAGATGAAACAAATATTGTATAGACGATATCGATGCGTCCAATTTCATTCAAATCAAAGGGTCACGTGTTTAAAGCAACCCTTGTAAGTCACGACGATAAATGCACATTTGGTCTCGGGTGCGCTGTCGTAATCGAGGAAACAAGTTCACTCGAAATGGTCGAGAGAGGTGATTTATTCGTGATCGTCGCTTGGACGGAAAACAACCGACGCGGGAGAACGTATCGCGTAACTATGATTTTATTACCGACCGCCGCGGGTACCGGCTTCCGGCTAATTTACCGTGAACCGAGAATCGCCCCCGGGACCACGCCGAGAAATCCTATCGGCTCGTTTTGGCCCGGTGAATGAGCTCCGCTTATCGGCGGATAAGTGACGTTGTAATTAAGTTTCGATCGAGGGGTTGAATGATGGAAGATCGTAATCGACCATGATCGATCGTGGATCGATTGGATTTATCGATGATAATGCGTCGTTGGATTTGTTTTGTAGCTTGGATTTCAGAGAGGTAATTGTGTTTGTTATTTTTTATTTTTAAAATTATTTCTATCGATTTCTATCGGTTGAAATCGGAAATTTTAAAATAAAAGTTACATTTTTTCAAATGGATATAAAAGAAAGGGAAATGGAAGAACGATAGAAGAAAAATCGATATTGAAAAATTGATTATAAATATATAGGAAACTAAATAAAGAAAAACGATAAAATGTAAAATTTTTAATTAAATGTTTAAAAATGATCAAATTCGAGTCGTGTTTTTAGAATTAAGTAGAAAAATAATTTTTGATTAAAAACAAATTATCAGATTGAAGTATTATCCAATGTATTTTTATAACATTTCTAGTGATTGAAAAATGTAACTATAGAATTTTTAAATTTGGAGAACATGTGAAAGCATGATTTATCATCATGATTGTCTTAAATTTTTAATTCATTCATTTTGAATGATTTAAAATAATAGGATTGTATGCAGTGAAGAAGTAAATCTTACGTAGTATAGTGATGAAGCAATCTAAAATCTAAATGCTTGCACTAGAAAGTTCTTAACTAACGTGATCAATTTTATGGTTTGGGTTCGTTGGTTCAAGAAGGTTATTATCAAGATGATCCAGAAATTGAAGAAAATACGAGATAATATATCAAAGTGTACAATGCACAAACGTAAACTAAACCAATTAACAATTTAAATTTAAATTTTCAATCAAAATTTAAAGTTTTTATAAATCCTAAACGAAATTTTGAAAAATGAAATTTAAATAGAATTAATTACTATATAAAATTATTATGTATATTTTCTTTAAAACATTTTCCCGCAAAATCTAAAATAACGACGAGATTGATCATTCATAATATTTTAATTTGTCACATTCTTAATTACTTCCTATTAATTTTATCTTCGATCGAATCTTCTTATTATTACGTTTTACAACACTTATTTGTATCATGTATATATACATAATTCATTATATCTTCTTTTTATTCTCATTATCTTCTTTTTAATAAATTGTAATAAAAAAAAATCCTCTCGAATGTTAAAAGATAAAAAATGTTTTATTTTAAATATTTTATATAAATCCGTTAATTTGCAGAATTATAATTCGTTGCTTTCTCGATATATATGTTCGTGAGAATTTCCCTCTGCAAAAGTTATCGTTTTCATAACTCATCCTGTTCAAAGAGGGTGGTTCACACTAGGGGTTGACCGACCAATGAAAATATGTCCCTGTTACGAGAGGATCAACGAGGATTAACTGGAAGATTTAGAATTGTCTCTAAACCGGTGCTCACTAAACATCTAATCCGAAAATACGATTATCTTTCTATGGAAATATTAATACCCCATAATAATATTATTTTTATTTTATTTTAAATATTTATTATTGGAAATTTTTCTTAAAGATTGTTTTTTTCTAAAGTTGTATTGCAAAACATAGAAAAAAAAAACAAGAAAAATTTCTATATTTCCCCTGTATTTTCATTCATGAGGAAATTTAATTTCATCCCATGTCGTTGCTGTTTACGGTAAAAAGTTTTCGTTTCATTTCATATTTTTCTTTTTATGCATCATGTATCACTCAGGAAATAAAAGGAAGTATTAGCTGATATCTCACTCGTCGAATAGAGATATTATTAAAATTTTGAAACATTTTATATAATATTAAAACTCACTAAGAGTCTTGTTTTGAATATATTCCAATATCATAGGCAATTTTTTATATTTTCTATAAAAAATTATTATTCGTTTTATTTTCATAACTTCCATATTAATAAAACAAAAGAAACAAAAATTTAAGAGAATGAAATTATTCATGAAATTCTGAATGCGTGCAGGTTACTTGGAATTGTTCTTATCGCATTCTTAAGCTGTACAATGACGGTCGCATGGTTTATTTCCATAAGAATCACTAACCATAACATCCGTTGTAATTCTAATTACAAATATCTCTCAAGGTACAACAATAGTAATGTCTATTATTGATCAGAACTGTTCGTGAAAAATGCAGCATTATATTAATTTCAAATATTATATGTTTGTTAATATATTCCTATATTCTTTTATCAATGTATTTCTACTAAAGCCAAAAACCAAAAACATTCAATAAGCCAAAAGAAAAAGAAAAATGTTTTGGCAATATGAAAATGCTAGTAATGAAATGTAATTAATTAGTAATTTAGATTAAATTATTTACAATACTTGAAAATTCTCTCAATTAAAATTGTAAAATTTAAAAGAAAAAAAAACTAAAACAATATTATTAAAATTGGAAAAATTAATCATTAAAATAAATATTCAAATATTTTATAAATTTTGTATTATATATATTATATATTGTATATATGTAACTATACATATATTTCGTTACGTGATTGATCGTCTCTTATCAATTATCTTTTGTTTCTATGAAACATAATTCGTATAAGACCTTTGATAATTGACACCGGATAAAGCCTTTGATAATCGAGAGCCTGATTGATCGAGGTCATGGTTAATTGCAAACAGGTTAATCGAGATCCTTCTATAGCTCTCTCTGTAACTGGCCAAATATGATCCTGTTTCCTAACATAATGTGCTGTTTATTAATGAATTCTCTATTCATAACAGCGTTCGATGAATATTGTTGTAAATACAGTATAAAAACATGGCTAGACTTTGCAAATTAACATCAATATATAAAAAATTCCGAATTATTATGAATTTAGATTATAATTTTAAAAGAGCAACTTTCTTATTTAACAATGACAAATCTCATAAAAAAGATTCTCATAATTTTGGTTGAAAAACTCCATGTTTCGTGAAAAAGAAAATTGTCAGATAGAAACTCTTTCTGATTAATTTAAAAAATTGTATATCTTCTTAAATTCAGAGGAAACTTTTTACGCAATTCCTTTTTAATATTAAATATGACGTGAATGAATTTATAAATATGTATAATAATACATGTGTAATAAAAAATATATTACATTAGTTTGATAGAATCCCACAAAAGTATCATACGATTTTTATATTTTTATATACAGTTATATTACATATTTTCATTCTGCAGTAAATTATATTTTCGATATTTCAATATAATTAAAAAAATGCATCGAATTAGTTTCAATACAAATTTTCATTTTAAAACAAATTATATTTAATTAATATTGTTTATCTCGAAACAAAATTTATTATAAAACGATTTAAAACTAACAAATAAATGCTAATTAAATTGCAAATAACACAAAAATATCAAATTATCATCTTATTTGAAAGCAAGATTTCCATTGCTAACTTTCTCCATATACTGCAATAATCTAGATAGTCAAGATTATTTCGAAATTCAAATACAAGGAAAGATATATTTTCGCTACATAGCTTCACCATTAGTTTACAGTTCCCAAAGGGTTACGAAGGGTTGCGCATCGCGTTTATAAGGGCCAGTAACGGAGAGTTGGACAATGTCGCGCTTTACGAAGGGTTGCTAGCTTTAAGATATAATTGCTATATATTAACCAACGGTAGGAAAGGTAGGCAAGGTAGAAAGGTAGACGTAGGGAAACGACTCTCTCGTACATATGTTCTTGATATTTTATTTTTCACTGATAAGTTATGTTGAAATTATAGATATAAAAATTAATGAAAATTTGTAATTGAATAATAATTTTCACAAAAGATGTAACATTCTTTAAAATATTTTTTTAATTTAATTTATTAAAAAAAATATTTAAAAGTATTATTAAATTATTTATTCTTCATTATTTATTCTGTAGAGTATTTTTAATCAACAAAATCTTTTTTGTATCACAAAAAGTATTTTCTATTAAATTAAATTTTATTTTCTATTATTTCTGTGATTTTCAACTTTATTTGTATAAAAATAATATAGAATATTTCTTTATATAGATACAAAATATATTAATTATTTTTATTCATGTTCTTATAAAATTTTTCTAATCTTTCCAACCAATTTTCCCATGCTAATTGTAAAGCATTATCTTTCAATTCATGAACATTTGCAGGTTTTCCATTTGTATAACCAACAACAACTAATCCTTTATGTACCTATCAATACGATTGCGTATAATTGATTATAATTTTATGCATTATTTTTATAAGTAATTACCTTAAATGAATATTTATTTGAAGCATTTACAGCTCCAATATAAGCAGCAAGTTGTATAGGTGCATCAAAAGTTGCACTAAGTGATGCCTTTTGTTTTTCTGATTTTTTCCAATCAATTAAATATATCTCATCCCTAAACAAAGATTACTTTAAATGATAAAACTATACATATTCTACATTTACACACTCAAAAATCAATGTAATATAATAGTAAGTTACTACATTAAAACCTTATAGCATTATATTTCTCTTATAATGGTAAAGCAAACTTCTATTATACCTATAAGTAGCAATACAATCTACAATGCCTTTATATCTTAATGTTGGATGTAATATATTTTCTTCAAGTGCATAAGTTGTTTGTATATCATTTAATATCGGTTCTATGCTACAATATAATGATTTAATAGAAGGTGGAATTATAGTTTCTTCATATGACAATACATTTTTAATAACGGAATGAAATAATTTACCACTATTCAATAGATCTGTAAATATATAACAATTATTATATTATCTAAAGATCCTGATTATATGAAAAATGTTATACCTTTATGATATGTATCAAACTCTGTTTCTCCAAACGTATCAATCATATTTTTTTTCCATCTTTCTAAACTAGCCTTGACTTCCAAAGACATAGTTTCATTAAGAATATTTGTTACACTTGGAATATTCAAATCTATATTATTCTCAACACATTGTATACCATAATTTTCTATTGTTTCAGAACCAAAAATAGAAAATGATTTTAAATTTTCCATAATTTTAAATTTATTTATAGTTTTTACTTCATTTACTTTTGGTTTTCTTGATAATTCCAAATCTTCTTTTTCTTTTACTCGTACAATTTTCTTATCTTTTTTTTGTTTAAGCACTTTATAAACAATATTTTTTTTAGATGTTATTTGATTTGATTGCGTTTCACATATGGAATTATTATCTAGCTTAGAAGGTTCTGTTGTTTCAGCTATTTCATTTTGTTTCTTAATATTTAAATTATTCACATATTTAGTTGAAAATCTTTCTTTCTTAATATTAAATTTTAAAACTACTCCATACTTGGCACTTTGTTTAATTCTCAATCGAATCATATTTAATTCATAATATTATAAAAATATAACAAAAACACTTTTTTGTTATGATTATCACTTTTTCCTGATAACTAACCATTTGTAAGAAAGTAAAGATTTTGTTCAATTTCATTGACTTGTTGTGCCATCTATCGACAATCCTCTTACCTATCTAACACTTTTTTCAGTCAATAATAAAATTTTATCAATATTAAAAATTGTCAATAAAAATTCATTTGTTTAATAGATCAATTTAAATTCATATTTAATAGAAGCTTTTTTTTTACAAAATAAAAAATATTTATTAAAAATAGTTACATTTATTCTATTTTAAATATTCTATGTAAAACATAAAACATAACTAGTTCAAACAAAAATATAAATAAATATGTATATTATTTATTTTATTTATATAATTACTATATGGAATATATCATTCATTCTATAAGTTATTTTTTCTGTCCGAGTTAAGTTTAAAATTGAAAACATTTTTCAAAATTATATATATATAAATTTATTTCAATTGAAATATATTTTTATAATTTTAAATTATTTTTGGATGGACGATATTTTCCGCGTACTTTAGGAAGAAGAACCATCATAGAATCCCAATAGCCACATATCACCACCAATGAATGTAAAACGTGACCGTAATTTATTAGGTTTTACACGGTTCGGTTCGTTTTAGCTCACGGTTGCAATTTCGGAGTTAACCGCTTATCAAGTTAAAGGGCATCATTCTAATGATGTAGAGTATACTACCCTCTTCATCGATTTTGCACAATAACCTCGATATCTTTCACAATCGAACATTTAATAACATCTACGATCAAAACTTTAAGAAACTTGTTCGCTTTTTTTGATTGCATTCTATTTGCGCAATCAAAATGTTGTAATTATTATTTACGTAAAAAAAAGAAAAAGTTGATAAAATCAATCTTTTATATCTTTCACTTTTAAATTTTCTAGGTAATATCAAGTCATTTATTAAAACTGAGGATAATTCATATCAAAGTAGCAATAAATTAAAAAAATATTGCATAATTGAAATGCATATATTGCATAAAAAGGTTTTTATGGAATTTTAAATAATTAAAATATTTTTTTTCTTTTTCCTTATATATTATCTTTCCTCTAAATTTTAAAATATATGTATTATATCTAATCAAATATTTAAAAATCATTTTTATTAAAATATTCTTTATAAAATGACTTCTGTGAGGTAAGCTTCGAAGACATTGAAGATATGATAAATGATAGATTTAATAATTATCTGACAACATTATAATGGAGAATATTTATGAATGATATGTTGAAGGTTTATTGGATCTATTTATTAATCTTATAAATACTAGAATTGACCGCATTTAAGAATCTAATGATGCTTTCAGGTGATGATCTACATATTAAATTGTAGGACATCTCTAGGAAGATAATATCAAGGATCAAATTTCAATTTAGAAAAGACGTCTAACAGTACAATCAAATAAGTTCTTACCACAAATAGTAAGTATGAAAATATTTTATTTTATTTTTCCTCAATCTTACTGAGCTATGATATAATTTTTTTTTAATATATATATATCACTTAATAATATTAAATAAATTCATTTAGCAAACTTATTCTAAACACGTACGATCGTTTCATTAAATATATATTTTTGATAAATAGCTTTTGATAAATATATATTTTTGATAAATATTTAAATATATACGTATATTTTTGTTATTTAAAATATAATTATGGGAGAAAATGCATAATATCTAAATGCACAAAATATAATCTTATTTTTACGTAACAATGCAACTGAAAACTGTCCCCATAATACGGTTGTAACGGTGAAAGTTACACAGTGAAATTTGAGAAGTATGGAAAATACGATCTAACATCTCTTATTGATTATCAGTTATCGTATCAATTTAATCAAGAGAAAAAAAAATCACTATTATAACATGTGAAAGAAGCGCATCCGCTTTCGATGCATCTGATCTATAAACAATTAACTACAAATATGAAGATCAATATAGCGCGATATTTTATGGACCAAAAGAGATGACACAAATTGTAATACAAAAACTGTAACCAAAAAAATATATCTATAAAAATTATTAATTATTTATAATATATATAATAATGTTAGACCTTAATAATTTAACTAACTAACGATATATCATCTTATGCATCATGCAAATTCTGGTCTAATTTAACTAATATTACATCATACGTGAAGAAATTCTTATTAAGCAAATTTGTTTAGATCGTAGATTGTTTAGATCGATCTCGAACAAATTGACTATTATTAATTTTTCAAAGCCAAAAACATTCAAAATCTAGAAGATTTTTATCTTCTTCTCATCTTTGAGAAGTTATATCTTTTCTCTATGTAAAGATAAAAAAAAAAAAAAAAATGTTCACAACTTACATCACATCTGTGTATATTGAAAAAGAAAAATAATCGTCGTAACGGCAAACAATCTCCCTCCTTAAAAATTTACCTGCAAAAAAATATTTTTTCTATATTTTTTTGATGAAACGATTGCTTCAATTTCAATTGATAAGATCAGGAAGAATATAAATTATTCTTTTTTTATACGAATAACGTTTGATTTTGTTATATCTATTATTAATCTTTACAATTTATGTATTTTTTCCAACTGAGTTAACGGCAATATCAATATTACCGTAACGATAAATTCGCGGTGAAAAATTTTCATGACAAGGTAGTGACAGTTAGAAAGGCGTAGACACGCACACATGCACGTAATCTAACTTCGCCGGGATGCGATACCGCAAGGAAAAGACTCCGGTGGTATAAAAAGGGATGTGTTCTGTGCAGACTGCATTAGTTTCAATTGCGAACAACTCATCGTTACTATACAGTAACATTACAAGCAACATGAAATTCTTCGTAAGTAATTCAATTTATTCTGTATTATGTGCTTCTATTATTATGTGCTTCTAATTACATTATGTTTATGTTTCATTTTAAATGATCAGTATAGAGTGATATAGTGTAATTAATTCAAAATTTATTTTTTTTCTACAATTTGTTTAATTTACCTTTCCTTATATTTTATTCTCATCAAATATTAATTGAAATGTATATATTTAATTTGTTTCATTCTACATTTTCATTGTTGTTCAATATGATTAAATTATTTTATTTTTTATGGATGAACCGAATTTATAAAGAATTTTTATAAAAAAATATATAAAAATATATAAATATATATAATATCCGTAAAAGATATGAATTCAAAACTTTCCTTTTGATTTTACCATTAAAAAACATAACATCAAAAGCATAATCATTTTATTATAAAATATAGTTATAAACTGGTTATAGATAATTCTTGCTATCATTGCCCTGGTGTCTCCCTTATATGCCCAATCTGATGAAAAGGTAATTGAGAAAAGAGGTATATATAGTGGCATTGGTTTGGGTTATGGAGGCCATGGAGGAGGTAATTTGAAAAATTTATATCTATTTCGCATATTTTAATTTTTATAATTCTAATTTCCATTTTTAAGATAATAGAATTTATTTAATTATTATAAAGATATTAATTTCTACAATATGTAGATATATAATTGATTAAAAATTTAAAATAAAACTAGAAATGCAAAAGAAATCAAAAAATAAAGTCTAAATATAATTAAATCAGGAACATTGTTACCATATAATTACCAATAACATGATTCATGTTAATTTTATTTTTTGTTAATTATAGGTTTGGCATATAGCGCACCAATAATCACCAAATCTATTCATATTCCTACTGTTCGACTTGGATATAGTGGATATGGTGGATATGGTGCATATGGTGGATATGGACATTCTGGAGGATATGGATGGTGAAAAATTTGAATTATTCTAAATTTTGTTCATTGGTATTATATCTTTGTAATACACCTATTTGTAATATTGAAAAGAGTTTTTAATGACATGTAAAATAAATTTGTATACTTTTTAATAAGTGTTATTATTGATTTCCCTTTCTGCTTATATACATATACACAATAGTCTTAATTAATTAAGAATAAATATTTTTCATTCTAATAAAACTTAATTAATTCAGAAGTTTCTGAAGTCCTAATATAAAGAATGGAATATTTTTATTAATTTTTTAAATAAATAATCGGTTTATGTCCAATATAAAGATAATGCAGAAATGAATTTTATCTACTATCATATTAACACACGTAACTACGAAGTTCTACAGTTCGTCGCTAGATAGAGTCGTAAAAATGTCTAGTTGTATTCATTAAATTTGTTTATTTATTAATAAAAAATTAAATTAAATCATGAATTTCTTAGCTAGAAGTGTAGCGAATGCAGCTAGATCTTGGCTTGCAAATTCAGTTGAAGGTAAAATTAATTATTATGTTAATGAAACGAAATGAAATGAAATTATTTCTATTTGTATCGTTACCTAACCTATAATTTAACCTTTACAAATAGAAAATATCGTCATTTTTTTTTATTTATAAATAATAATTTACATTTTTCATAATTACAATTCTATATTTATTTAATAAAGATTATTCTATAATAGATAATTTTTGTTGTCAACGATAAATCATTAAATTATTGCATTATTTAGTAGAATAATTTCAATTCTTATTCACGATTTCAACGAATTATTTAATAAATAATTATAACTAATTGTAAATATATCTAATAAAAGATATGTATTTATTTTACAGCAAGCAAATCACAATTAACTAGATTGTGTGCAAATCCTGGAATTCAAGGTACTTATTTTTCTTAATAACAAAATTTCAAATATTATAACATTATTAAATTCACTTGAAAAATTACTATATTCATGTTTTTACAGGAACTGTACTCAACACTACTAATTCCTATATTAGAAATCTAATGCAAGGTAAGATATATATCTTAATACCAATATTGCGCCAATATATTTCTTACCTATAAATTAAAAGTAAAATGGAACGTATCTATACTATATCATACTCAAAAGTAAGAAGTATAATTACAATTTGAATAATATATTAGAAATTAAAATATTCAATTATAATATTATTATAAAAGATTTTTCCAAATATTAAAAAACAATCACTAAATATAGT